GTAGCTCAAGTGGTAGAGTGCTCGCCTTGAGCTGAAGAGCTGAGGGACAGCGCCCAGGCCCAGAGTTCAAGCCCCACGGCCGACAAAAAAAAAAAAAAGTTTCCTTCTTGTTTATACTAGTACGAAGGTTTTCTTTCCTACTTTATTCCTTCACTGAAGTATGAGTCCTTCAAATCCATTTGTAAGCCTACGATTTATATAAGGGTTCTAGTCCCCATTACACAGTTCTGACAGCTCTAACATACAAAATAAAAACTAAGACATTACTAAGACAAAAGAAAGAGAGAGAGAGAGAGAGAGCAATATCCTCTTCTCCATGGCTGCTGCCAAGTTGGCTCTAACCCTACCATGCTGGCTTTTATTTCACTTTTGGCAGTGGTGGCTTTCCCTTTCTTAAGTTTTTCCACTTTGAAGAATAAAATGATTTTCAGGATATCTTGGTCTGCCATAATGCCAAAAAGATGTGTTTTGACTTTGTGTTTTCTATGTAAAACTGACATTATACTTAAGACTTTAACTCAGACAATTCACCTTTGTAAAGTATTTGAATATACTTATAATATACTTACAATATCCATACACATACATATATTTTCTTTTCTCTTCTTTCCAGTACTTGGGATCAAACCCAGAGCCCTGAGTGTATTACACAAAGTATCTACCAGTTAACTGTACTCCAGCCCAAATATTTGTATTTTATTGAGTTTGTAATTCTTCTCTGTCAGGCATTTGTAGTACCTGAGTCAATTTCATATATAAGGTTTAGAAGTGTAGTCTGGAATGTTTAAAGGCTATAACTTATTAATGGTATTAGTTGCTTAGGGGGACTTCAATCTGTTAACTTTATTAATTTAACAAAATATAATCTGAAAGCATAAGCTTTATGCAAAGTCAAAAGTATTTTATGCCAGGTGCCGGTGGCTCACGCCTGTAATCCTAGCTATTCAGGAGGCTGAGTTCTGAGGATCAAGGTTCAAAGCCAGCCCGGGAAGAAAAGTCCATGAGACTCTTATCTCCAATAAACCACTAGAAAACCGGAAGTAGCACTGTGGCTCAAGCAGTAGAGTACTCGCCTTGAGCTGAAGAGCGCAGGGACAGCGCCCAAGCCCAGAGTTCAAGCCCCACGACCGACAAAAAAAAAAAAGTATTTTATATACTTATAACAAAATGTATCAGTGGTATATAACAAGTCTAAAAAGAACTAAAATTGATGGGCTGGGAAGATGGCTCAGTGGTAGAGCGCCTGCCTTGCATGCCTGAGGCCCTGGGTTCGATTCCTCAGCACCACATAAGAAAAAAGAAAAAACCCAGAAGTGGCGCTGTGGCTCAAGTGGTAGAGCATTAGCCTTGAGCTGAAGAGCTGAGGGACAGCGCCCAGGCCGAGAGTTCAGGCCCCATGACCGGACCCAAAAAAAAAAAAAAAAAAGAACTAAAATTGAACATTTAACTGAATGTTAATTTAGAAATAAGTGTGTATTAGGGCTGGGAATGTGGCTTAGTGGTAGAGCGCTTACCTAGCATGCATGAAGCCCTGGGTTCAATTTCCTCAGTACCATATAAACAGAAAAAGCCAGAAGTGGCACTATGGTGCTAGCCTTGAGCTAAAGAAGCTCAGGGACAGTCCCTAGGACCTGAGAGCGAGCCCAGAACTGGCAAAAATAATAATAAACATATATAATCATAGTCTTTTGCACACTAGAAAGCCAATCTCCACTTTTTTTTTGTAATTTGGACATCAGTACTAATCAACTCCTCCACAATATAACAAAGTATAAATTTTGCAAATGGTAAATCTTGAAAAACTTCAAGTTTCTGTTAAAATTACCCAGCTGTATAAAAAGCCATGTTTCATCAACAATTACATTAAGAATTAATATATGAAGCCGGCTGGCAAGCTCACACCCATTATCCTAGCTACTCAGGAAGGTGAGATCTGAGGATGATTGTCCAAAGCCAGCCTGGGCAGTAAAGTCCATGAGACTTTTTTTTTTTTTTTTTGTCAGTCATGGGGGCTGAACTCTGGGCCTGGGCACTGTCCATCAGATCTTCAGCTCAAGGCTAGTGCTCTACCACTTAAGCCACCGCACCACTTCTGGTTTTTTCTGCTTATGTGGTGCTAAGGAATCGAACCCAGGGCCTCATGCATGCAAGGCAAGCACTCTACAACTGAGACACCTTCCCTGCCCTCCAATAAACCACCAGAAAACCAGAAGTGGTAGAGCGCTAGCCTTGAGCTGAAGAGCTGAGAGATGCTCCCAGGCCTACAGTTCAAGTCCCACCACCGACCCAAAAAAAATAGGGAATTAAGAGCCAGGAGTCAGTGCTCATACCTGTAATCCTAGCTATACAGGAGGCTGAGCTCTGAAGATAGAGGTTGAAAGCCAGCCTGGGCAAGAATCCATGAAACTCTTACTCTTATCTTCAATTAATCACCATAGAAGTGGTACTGTGGTTCAAAGTGGTAGAATGCCAGCCTTGAGCAAAAAAGCAAAAAGAGCTCAAGAACAATGCCAGGCCCTCAGTTAAAGCCCCACAACCAACCCAAAAAAAAAAAAAGGGAGGGTGGTAGTGTATGCCTCTAACTTCTGCCCGTGGGAGGCTGAAACAGGATAGAATTCCAGGCAAGCCTAGGCTACATGTGAGAGCCTGTCTCAAAAAAAAAAAAAAAAAAAAGCTGGGCGCAGGTGGCTCAGGCCTGTAATCCTAGCTACTCAGGAGGCTGAGTTCTGAGGATCTCGGTTCAAAGCCAGCCTGGGCAGGAAAGTGAGACTCTTATCTCCAATAAAAACCACTAGAAAACCAGAAGTGGCTCATTGGCTTAAGCTTTAGAGCGCTCGCCTTGAGCTGAAGAGCACAGGGGCAGCACTCAAGCCTAGAGTTCAAGCCCCATGACAGACAAAAATAAATAAAATCATTCTAGCTCATGCCTGTAATCCTAGCTACTCCGGAGGCTAAGATCTAAGGATCAAAGTTTGAAGCCAGCTGGGGCAACGAAGTCCCTGAGACTTTATCTACAGTCAATTATCAGAAAACCAGAAATGGAGCAGATCTGTGGCTCAAAGTGGTAGAGTGCTAACCTTCAGTAGAAAAGCTCAGGGACAGTGTCCAGGTCCTGAGTTCAACCTCCAAGACCACCACCAACAACAACAAAAAACATAGCTTTTTGTTGTTGTTGTTGCCACACTTGCACTCAAACTTGATACCAGACACACCAGCTCACTGGCTGGTGCTCTACCAATTAAGCCACATCTCCATTTCCCCCATGGATGTACTATTTTATTTATATTTTATGCCAAGGGTTACTTCCTAAAGAAGTACTTCCCTATCCTTTTCAGGAGCTTTACATTTCATGCTGAATTATGTACCTGATAAAATATGTATATAAATACACACACAAAAATATCTACTTCTCTGAGTGTGAATTAAACAGAAATTGAAATTCAATGCCATTTACAGGTTTCCCATTAGGTCCCCAATATTCGGCGCCTTACAGTCAAGGAAATTATATGATTCTCCTGATCAATTTTTCTTGCTCTAATTGTTGGTTTTTCTTTGGTGCACTAGATTACTGAGTGTTCATTAATGTTATTAGGTTAGCCCTTAATAAGACTGGCACTGGTGGCTCTCTGGAATTCTAGCTACCCAGGAGACCAAGATCCAAGGATCACAGTTCCAAGCCAGGCTGAGCACTACTTAGTAAGGTCCATGAGACACTCATCTCCAATTAACCACTAACCACCAAAAAAGCTTTAAGGGAGCAGTGGCTTAAGGGGTAGAGCACCAACTTTCAGCAGAAAAAGCAAAGGGGTATAGCCTAGGCACTGAGTTCAAGACTCAGTAGTAGCACGAGGGTGCCCACGAACGTTTTTGTTTCACCCAAACCGTAAGGCTTCGGGAAATGTTTTTCTCGCTGGGAAAGTGTTCATCGGTCATGAGTTACTAGTACGTGGATACTCTAGTCTGGGTAACCTGGGATGTAGCCCAAGAGAGGACCTGTGCAATCAGATCCTGCTAAATCAAGAAGGCCTCCACACTCTAGCAGGATCCGAATTGGCTGTCTGGCTATCCTCAAGGGCCCACAAGTCGCCTTCTCGGTCCCATACAACAGAGGGTTCTTCTCTAGGCCAATGTAACTACTTCGAGGAAGCAACTGTGCCTTTGCTTTGGTCTGTTGTGTTTTCAGGGGAAAGCCGCTAACACCTACACGGATTTAATCAAGAAAAAAAAAATAATAAGCAGCAAGGGTTCACTTTTAAGTTCTTTCAAGAGACAACTGGAGATGGAAGATGCAACGGCAGAGGTGGCTGAATTGTATGCAAAAAACAACAACAACAACAACAAAAACAAAAAGCCCTCAACTTGAATCCGGGTGGTTACTGCAGAGGCAACGGCGAGGAGAAGCGTGATCTCGTGCAAGAGGCCATGTCCTTGGAAAGGGCTCCCAGAGCCTCAAGGGCCCCCCCACACACACACACCTTATGAACAGAGTGAGTCAGGCAGGCTCAGCTCCACTTCGCAGATGGGGGAAACTGAGGGACGAGGCGGCCAGATGCCGGGCCCCGAAGCCTCGCTGGGCGATGCTGAGGGCGAAGCGGAGAACCAGAAGCTCAAGTTCCCTCGACTCCCCTTCCCCTCCCCGCCCCTAGGATGGCGTAGACGGCCTCCGCCCCCACCACCCCCAATTCACACACACACACACACACACACCCTTGGCCGGGAGCGACCAGTCTCCCCGGGTTCCAAGGACAGGGTCACAAGCCCGGTCTGCGAAGCGCTCCCGCCGGGATTTGCAGCCAGAAAGCGTTGGAAGCATGCGTGCTTCCAGTCCAACATGGCGGCGCCGAGGCCCGGCCTCCCCCCCCTCCCACACACACACGCACACCCAAGCCTCCCTCAGGCCGGAGGCTTTCCCTCAAGGCCCTCCGGTGGGGCGGGGAGACTGCCCAAGCCCGCCAGACCCCTTCACGCCGCAGCGGCTGCTTATGGAAGGAAGCACCTACCCGACATGACTAACGGCCGCGGCGCGGAGCCCCCCACAGCCCGCGGAGAACAAGGAAAACGAGAGCCAGGCGGCACAGCGGCCGGAGCTGTTCTGAGGGCTGCGCGGCGGGCTGAAGCCGATTGCGGGGCCTCGGCAGCCAATCAGCGGGTGGCGGGCCGTACCATAGTGCCAAGGCAAGAGGGGTGACTCTTCACCAACACTAGCCTCCGACCCCTGAGTCCCTCTCGGTTCTCCCCTTCACGGACTGTACCATTATTGAGAGGGAATTGAAAAGGGAAAGTACCAATGTCATTGTAGGGATGGGGGAGAAGTGGAGCCAACTCCTGTTTCTGTCGCGCTTACTGTCTTATTTCTCACTTTGTTCGGATCTGACAGAACTCGAGGTTAGTCAACGAAGGAGGAAGTACTTGCAAAACACAGACTATGGATTTAGAAATTCTCTCTCTTCCCCTCAAATTTGGAATGGTATGACCCAATCTCTGGGTCTCTCTGGGCTATGTTCGCGCTTGAACCACCTGGGGGCGTTCGGAATCGGATGAGCTCGGAGCCGAGCTCCCGACTGAACTTTGGTACTTGATCACCTGGGGACCTGATGACCCCCTTTGCGGAACTGAACACCGGTGAGACCGGAAGAAGTGGTGGCTCACTCCTGTGATCCTAGCCACTGAGAAGGCTGAGATCTAATGATTGCACTTGGAAGCCAGTTTGAGCAAGCCACTAAAAAGCCAGACGTGGAGATGTGGTTCAAGTAATAAGAGGACCAGCCATGAACTTCAGGAAAAGCTAAGAGGCAAGCCCTGCGTTCAAGATCCAGTACGGGTACGGGTACGCGCGCGCGCACACACACAACCTGACCTCGAGAATGGGTATGGAGCTCTATTTCTCAGTACCACAGTAACAGCTAACTACTAATTGTTGGCACCTTACATCATCTAATTCTCAAAGCAGACTGATGAAATGTTTCCCCATGTTGCACATAAAGTAGAATTCCCTTGCCTCAGGCCATACAGATAGCCAAGGGCCAAGTGAATTGCCCGAGTGGTTAAGCCTACAGCATTGTTTATAGGTTTAGCCATAATGTTATACATACAGTCAGCTCAATAGTAGGAGTAGGGGCTGAGAAAGCTCAAAGGACTAACAAAGATATTTTCCCAGAGTATGTGCTGTCTGAGCCAAAGTCTGGATAATTAGCAGAAGTTGACGGAGTTGAAAGTGGGCAAAAATATGTCCAGACTAGTTGTAGAACAAGCAACTCGATATGTTTGAAATAATTCAAAGCCGGGCTCTGGTGGCTCACGCCTGTAATCCTAGCTACTCAGGAGGCTGAGATCTGAGGATCACGGTTCAAAGCCAGCCCGGGCAAAAAAGTCTGTGAAACTCTTATTTCCAATAAACCACCAGAAAACCAGAAGTGGCACTGTGGCTCAAACGTAGAGTGCTCACCTGGCCCAGAGTTCAAACCCCATGACAGACAAAAAAAAAAAAAAAAGCAATTCAATACCTTTGGAGTGTAGCCTCCAGGGGACAGTAGAACATGTCAGAAAAGTAAGAGGCTAAATAGTGGAAACATTGTAAAGTAGATTTGAATTTGAACTTTTTTTTATCTTGGAGGTAATAGGACTTTAACTAAAAGTAATATCAGATTTGTATTTTCCAGCTACAGAATAAAGGATGCAGGGAGATGAGCCTAGAAACCAATCAAGTGGTCAAAGAAATCATTTTAAAGAGATACCAAAGTGCTTGGGAACAGAGTCATAGCTGTGGAGATGGAGGTCAAGTGCACAGATTCCCAGATACACTTTGGGCTAGACCACACCAGAGTTGATGTTGATGATCAGTTTGGCTGGAAAGGACTAGCACAGAGAGACTAGTCTGAGGTGTCTTTTGGGTTTCCTGCATGCAAAAGTGGCTAGATACAGGTGTCATTCACTGTATTGGGGAAGAAGAAAAAGAGAATGAAATGGAAGTGAAAGAGGAAGTTCATAATTAATGCCTTTAGATAAGAAAAAAAAAGCACGGGGCCATCTCTTCTCATTATACCTCTAGAGGGAGTCAATGAACCCCTTCCCTGAAAATAGGAAATAGATCATTGCTATTTCCCAGGGAGCTACAGAACAAGCAAGGCTAAAGCAATAAAAATTATGACACAGCCATCAATTGTTTGGTATCTATACTGAGGAACAGCATTCCAGAGGAGATGAGCATGTGCAGTATCAGGAAACAATCCAGCTACAAAGAAAGGAAGGGAAGGTTTTAGGTATTTAGGGCAGGCAGAGGGTTAAAGCATGAAATACAGGGAGTATTACTCATCATTGGCTCATTGTCTGTACCACTGAAATATATTGTACAGACCCATCTCTCCCTGGGACACTGTGGTAGAAGTTAAGCATTCTTAGTGCATTGTTAAATAAACTACTGTTTATAAGCTTTTGCTATAAGCATATTTTTGTAAGATTATTTTTTTCTTTAAATGTACTGAGATATTGGGCACAGGGAAGACAACTTCCTAAGTGACACTTGCTAGACCCTTCTCCAGGGTGGCTGCTTTGAGCAAAGGCCTACCAATCAGATCATGCCAATACCAAAGCACCAGTCCAGTACCAGAAGACCTGTGACTGATACAAACAGAGTCCTTCCTTTACATAATAAATTATATCAGGGCTGGGAAGGTGACTCAGTGGTAGAGTGCTTGTCTTGCAAGCATGAGGCCCTGAGTTCAATTCCTCAACACCACATAAGCAGAAAAAAATGGAAGTGCTGCTGTGGCTCAAGTGGTAGAGTGCTGGCCTTGAGCTGCAGAGCTGAGGGACAGCACCCAGGCCCAGAGTTCAGGCCCCACCACTGAGCAAAATAAATAAATAAATAAATATTGTATCATGATTGTTAAAATGTAATGGGACCACTGTGATTGTTCCCCACGCCCATCCTCGCCCCCCCTATAAAAGAAGGCTGTTCCTGGGGAAAGGAAGGGAGGGCAAAGGAAAGGAGGAGAAAAATAGCTACTGCTGTTTTTCGTATTTTGTAGGTGATGAACCCTGAAGCTCTGAAAGATGAAATTCTTTAGCAAGTTCACATGGCCAGTTATGAACAGAAGCAGAGCTTCTACCAGGCCTTTAAGCCAAGCTCAGTGATCTATTCACAGTGTCCCTTTGCTCTCAAACTTGAAACTTCCTCCAGGTCCATGATGTTCTGAGGCTTCTTTCCTTCCCACAGGCAGGCTCGCAGACTGCCAGTTGTACCATGCCTCCTGTCTTTGAGGCTTTTTTTTTGCCTTGCAGATGATGCAATCGGGAATGATTATATCTGCAATAAGCAGTACATCATCTCTAACAGATTTTTAAGAAGACCTCTTAACCCCCAACTCATTCCTGACATCCATACTTGAGGAGCTTGCACCTATCCCTGCAGATTGTGTTGTTTTAGTTCAGAACAATTCCTTCCTGCAGGACTGGAGTTGTGGCCTCTAGTTCTATTCCCAGTCTTGCAAAGAAAAAGAAAGGAAAATTAGAAGAGATGAAGACATGTCTTCTATCTCAGCCACAAAGGAGGACTACCCTTACCAGGCGTGTCCAGAGCTAGAGTTTCCATGGTAACTCTGGCTCTTGGACTGTAGACCAGGCCTCCTGTCCTTGTCCCTCCGTTCTGTGGCTGGCAGAGTTGTGTTGTTTTTATGTGTTCATTATGTATAAGGGTTCTTTTCCCCCCCCCCTTTTCAATTTGCCAGATAACTTCAGTTTCTCCTGTAATGCCTGTTGAGCTTGCCATCCCGTCCCACCCCTGGTATAAGCCTTGTAAGGACAGCATCAGGACTGACAATTTACTTAGCACAAAAGGCTGTCACCTGAGATGGCCATTTGAGCAGAGATCTGACCTGTTTTTACCAAAGTTTCTCTGGCTAATGTTTGGAGAATACAATAGACTATGAATGGCAAGGCCAGGGAAGGGAAGCAAGGAGAACTTATGGTTAGACCACAGTGAACCTCAGGCCACAGTGGAATCCTGTGGAACCCAATAGTCAGACCACAAAATTCAGAGCTTTCATATTTTGCCAATTTGTTCTGTAATTGGGTATGACATACTTCCTCTCTAACCTTCCAATGTCTAGCACAATGCCCAAAACAATAGGCAGTTTTTTTAAAGGAAGGAGGAAAACTTCATATTTCATGAACAAATAAATAAAAACAATAACAAAGCCACATGACTTGTATTTCTAACCTGTCAGTAAACTCCTCAAGATTTAAGAACTTATCTAGAACTTTCCTATGTCACCTCTGAAGCACAAAGTGTTCCATGAGTGTCTGTTGAAAGAATGACAGCCACTCTGTGTCAAGTGCTTCAGATAGAATTTGGCCATTGTTAACCACCTTCCCTCCCCCTGCTCCCCAGAGAGGTGTCACCAGAGCCCAGTTCCTCTGGCCTTCCTCGAGAGCAGGCCTCCCAGGGCCAAGTACCTAAGCAGGAGACTCCTTATAAAAGACCCAACTGCCCCATCCTGTCCTCTGACTGTGGCAGGCGTTTCCTGTTTGGGGTGGAAAGGAACCAGACACTTTCCTGTTAGCAGGTCTTTTAAGCAAAGTAGCAGATGCTGAGCAGGTCTTGGCCCAGCCTTTCAGGCCAGATGCCTGGCGGGCAGACAGCCTCTAATGTGGACGGGAAATGGGGCACTGGGCCAGATTGGCCAGGCTTTTATTGTGCTCCTTACAAATCTCCTGGGTCCTGGTTGTGAGTAAAAAAACAAAGCAGAAGAAACTTACACTTTGCTTAAACATGATGTATATTAGAGAAGACACACCTGCTCTGAGCTGGAGAGCATTGCCCAGTACGAAAGGTGCTTCTGTGATTGTTCTGGGCTATATTGCCAGGATGTAAGCCTGCTAAAGTGTGAAACTGCAAAGAATAAAACACACAATGCACACTTGTGTCTCTACACCCAAGAGCCAGCATTTTACAGGGTTGCAGATACTAATTTTCTAGCTCACTCTGCATAGAATGTCAGCGTTGTAGAAAAAGAAATTCTCTTTGTCCCATTTGAAAATCGCAGAAACTCCAAAGGTTTATGTTGCAACAGTACCAGGTGAAAGGGTACCAGTTCTCTC